ATTTTTTCGTTCGATGACTGTTAATATGTAATTATTAATGTGTCGAATTGGTTGATTCCAGTTGTATAGATGTACTGGTTTGTGTTTATACTGCTTTTTTATTCTTCTTTTTCCTCTTTGTGATGAATTTGAAGTTGTTTCTGAGTCAGAAAAATATAATTGATCGTGTTGTGGGTAATTTTTATCTATTGATTCTTTTAGTTTGTAGAGTTCGTCTAAACTGTTGGTTTCTGATTCTGAAAATGCGTTTCGATTTTTTGAAAATCTTTTTCGTGTTATTTGTCTTTGTTTAGTGATTATTTTTCTCTTTAGTGTTTGTCGTTTTGTTCGAATGTATCCAACTGTTTGTGTATGAGGTGTGATTACAAGGTCGTATTTTTTGTTATCTATTTCACAATTGTGTAAAACGATTGTTTGTTTATTCCCTAGGTTTTTAAATGACATAAGGTTTAGGATGACGGGTGCAAAAGGTTGTTAAATGATTTCTATTTTCCTAAACTGTTAGTTCTTACGATTTTTTGGTTAGCTTAACCTGGGTCTATTTGTTTAGGGTTGGAGAGAAAAGTATATCGATTCCGAAGAATGATTTTTACTTTCTCGTGACTAGTATAAGCTAAGGTGTTAACTTACTTAATCTTACTTAGGGGTAGTGATTGTGTTCAAGGGTTGGAGAATAGTAAATCGATCCACAAGGTTCAGGTATAATTAGAACGCGAGTAGTTCGTTAGATACTATTTTAAACTTACTAAGTCTAAGATTTATCCTGGGTCTGGTAAGAGGGGGGATCAAGTGAAGGATGAATAACCGAAGTTCTTCACTGTTTATCCTAATTTGAATGATTAGTTTTGTTTAAAAATTTCTATTAGTCTTGGGTCTTTAGAAAGGGTTGGGTAGTGAATCGACGTTTGAGGTCGTTAGACACTAATTAAGTGGGTGGGGGAGAACAAAGTTGTTCTGTTTGATCCAAGGATAAGCCTTGATGATCAAATTTAAAATGTAATGAAGTAGAAAATGATTTAAGATCCAAGGATAAGCCTTGATGATCTGGTTTTAAAATTAAGTGACTTTAAGTTTTAATGAGGTTTTAAATTTGTGTAAAGGAAAGATTTAGTATTTTATGATATTAGTGAGTTGATGATTGCTGTTATGTTTTAGGTGATGAAGCTGGAACAACAGGATGATTTATGATTACTAACCATTTATTGTCATGCTACTAATTTTTATTTTTATTTTCCAATAAATATTTTTCAAACATGTTTTGTATAATACTGCAGAATTTTAGGAAAACGATCTTAGATCTTTTTATCAATCGTTATTGTATAATATTAATTTTGTTTAGCGCCTGAAATGATTTTGAAGATTTACTTCAAGGTTTTATGTTTGCAAATGGAAATCTAAATTCATTGCAAGTAGTATTCGAAATATAAAAGTTTGTTCTGGCTTTTGCCGAACTATCATGTAACTATACGGCAAGTTTCTACTTTGTCGTATGTCGTCTTTGGTTCGATGTCTTCTTCCAATTCCGGGTAGTTCTATTATGGTTCGGAATATTGGCTCGGATCTATTGAGTCGGAGAGACATTTCAATTAAATTATTGTCGTATAACATTTTGTAAATGTTTTTGTCTAATTTCTAATCTAATTTTGGTTAATTCTAATCTAATAAGGTCTTGTTCGAGACTTATGGTCGCACCAGATGAGTTAGGACTGGAGTGTAACTCATAGAGTAATTTCGGATAGGGTACACCGTCTGCTCGTCACGCTATCTTATTTTCGGCCGGATAGATTCGTGCAACTTCTTAGTCTAATACCGATCCTAATCTTACTCTTATACTATCTAGTCTCAGGTTGTTTAACTAGTCTCTGCTAGGCTCAATAGATCTAGGGTATACTGGTTTATTGCGGCTGCTGAAGTGCTCGGGAGAGTCCAACTAATTTCTAAGTTAAATTCAAATCTCTCTGGTGCTGAAATTACAAGTAACTTCAGCACTTACAAATAAGTGGGTTGTTAGTTAGATGGATCATGATTGGTTAATATTAAATACTTTACATTGGTAAAACATTTAATTTATCCAATCATAAAATATAGTTTAGATCAGGTTCCAACAGAATGTTCAGAGCATATTCTTACAAAATACACGCTTTTTCATTTTTTTTCAAATAAGTGTCGTTTTCTGTGCATGGTATAATAAGAACGATCTGACGAAAGCATAGAACGTACGCATATTTGGCAGTAACAGTAAAATAGGCAAATTGGGCATTAATTTTGTCAAAAAATGACTACAACAAAAAAATCAAAAAATTCAATAAACTTTGAAAACTTTTTATATTTTTTGCAGATATTTTTTTGAATTGATTTGAGTTTTTATTCCTTAGAACGAAAAAAAAAACGTATATTACTAGAGTAAAACTAAATTTTTATGGCCTATCTTTCTATAAAAAGTCAAGGGCTATCCTTCTAGTAAAACTCATGGCCTATCCTTCTATTTAACTGGCTGGAAATTAAACAAAACTGTAAACCAGTTTTTCTCGACACTGGGACTTTTTGAAAAAAAATTTAACAGTCGTTCAAATTGGGGCTGAAGGCGTTTATTATTACTTATCACTCTTACAATTCCGATGATTTGTGGTAACTTTTCATGGTTGAAAAACTCAATAAGCCTTCTCACTCGCTTTTCTTGTTCGAAATTAGACGATTAATCAAAAATTTTAAACCTGTTTTTTTTTACACTCGGACAACTTTTAAAAATCGTTCGACTGAAAGGGCTGTATTTTGATATATCACTCGACCCATTCGGTTGATTTTTGTGGTACCTGATTTTGCGTGAAAAACAAACAAAAAAAACTAAAACAACCAAATACAATGGTCGGAACAAAAAAATGTGTGGCATATTTTTATGTATGCTCAGCGCTAAATGAATTTTCGAAAACTAGTTTCCACGGCTCAAATAAAAAGTTTTTTTCGTTATTATAAAAAAATGAAAGATGTGCTTATGAAAGCGTTAAAGAGCAAGGAAAAAAACTGATTGAAAATGTTTGAACTCATTGAAAAGGTTTAAATAAAAAATCATGTTAAAACTTTTTGAATTTGAAGAACTGTTTATGACTGGCATTTTTCTTAGATGTATCTCATTTGGAAATAACTAGATCAAAAGATAATTGTTTCAACCCAGTGCAAATTCAGAAAATTAAGTTCATTTTTGAAACTTTTTTTTTACAGCCATTCACATTTTTTGTGACTTTTACACTTTTGCTGTTCGATAGTGAAGTTCGCCTCCTTATAACAAAGGAAATGAACTGAAATTAAATAGAAGTCAAAAACTAAATTGCAAAATATCAACTTCGAGAAGAAAGAAAAATATCATCACGACCGATATAATTGACAATCACTACGTTCTTTTATAGATAAAAAGTGTCATTGCAACAGCAAGCTTCTTTTACTTAAGATGCTGTAAATTCATATTGAGAATGCACTACTTTCGCAAACACTCTCCTGCCGTAAATTAGTCAAAATAGGCCGCTTTTTCTCGACACTGATTTTTTTCTGAATATTCTTTGAATCACGGTTTAAAAGGGATTAATTTGAAACCACACTCAATGTAGTACAGAATTTCGCGAATTCTGAAAAAAGGACCAAAAATTTCGGCCAAACCGCGAGAGATAAATAAAAAAACTACACCCCACTTACTGATCGAAAGCGCTTGTATCTAGCCTCAAGTAAAGCTACTCCAAAATTTAGATTACTATGTTTATTTGTTCTAGAATTCGCTGGATCTTCCGGTCCAGAAAAACAGCATTCCTAAGAAAAAGCGAGAAGTCTCTTTCAGCCGGACTGCAAAGAAATAAACAACCCGAAGTCTAGAGAGTTTTGAACTGTTGTCATTATTTACAGATATTGAGAACCAACTTAAATATATGTAATGATCAATTTGGCGTTTTTTATAAGTGGCAAGATGTTTCTGGAAGAAGAATGACCTATGTTTTGTTTTTGGAGGGAAATCCCACTTAGAGAAAATACTTTCAATCAATGACGCGTAAAAAAAATTAACTGTAATCCAAATAGTGTCATCTAGGTGCGGCTTTTGACTTCTTTTTCAAAGAATGGAGAGTAAAAATCACGATCAAGAAAAAATGCTAATTAAATTTCTCAGCAGAAAGTTCCAGAAAAAGGAAAACTCGCAAAGAACAAAGAAGAATGATCAAAATTGTAAAACTAGGATACGAGAAGAAAATTATGAAAAACTCAAACGTCTGACGAATCTACAGAGCCATTCAAACTCGTCTATAGATGAAGTTCTGGGCAGTCAGAAACAAGGTCAACTTCAAAAGCACACAAAAAATTGCAGGTTGAGAAAAGATGACAAAAACAAACGAGCTTTTCAAGAACAAAAAGAAACAGAGGACTTGAATGGTCTTGTTAACGGAGCATACGGCGCTCATGATACCGAAACACAGAGGCATGTTTGTTATCTCATTGATAAACTCCAACAACAAAGTTCACAAAAATTAGCAGTACATTTTAAAATGAATCAAGTACATCGCTCGGACGAGGAATTCAGAAAATTCAAACTCGAACAGGAAGCAATAGAGGACTTATATTATCGCCAAAAAATCAGCAAACGCAACCAAGCCCCTGGTTACATCCCGCAGAATGAAAACGGAGAATTTTCCATTCAGTCTCGAACAAATGGAACGCTTTCTTCAAATAACAATTACCAAGATATTGAATCAGCTTCTTCGAAAGCAAGGTCTTGTCATTGTGGGCTTAATGAAAATAAGACAGTCCAACTAACAATTCCGCCTAGTAATACTGAAATCCGCGTTGTTGTCAATCAAGGCAAGGAAATGAATGAAAAACCAGCCTCAAAGTGTTTCTGCTCAAGAAATTCAAGTCGACCACTTTACAGACCTTTGACTTGTAAATGCAATGAGCGAAACCATCAGCAATCATACCAACAAAATAGCTACCAACATCAATCACACCAACATAATTTATCTCAGGAGTCTGAAATACAGTATTCAACTGACAGGAAAGTCTCTAGTCAGTACAAAGAACCAGCACCGTGGTCCTCAACCTTGGAGGGGAACAGAAGTCAAGATGAAGGACGGAAAACATCAAAAACCAAATCCCTATCTGCAATTGACGAAGTAAATGAGGAAAAAAGCAAAGAGACAACAACTTTAGATCAGAGACCTATCCAAACTTCGATAGATAAGACAAAATCGTCTAGCTTGAACCCGTTCAATTTTGATGAAAATAGAGTAGAAGAATACAAAAGAGAGAGTAAACTTACACCATTGGACTACTTCGAAGAGTCATCAGCAGCTCAGCTACAGCAGAAAGAGGAAGGAACAAGGAAATCGAGTGTTAACCCTTTCATTTTTGATGAAAACAGAATCGAAGAATACGAGAAGGATCGCGAGACCACTCCATTGGATTACTTCGAGGAAACTTCATTTGAAACGCTAAAAGCGGATGGTGTAGAAATAGAGAAAGACGAATATATTCAAATTTCAGTTACGCCCAGTTGATGTTGGCATTCTGACTGACTGAATTCTCAAAATGCAGTTTGAACAAATTTAAATATACAAAATAGCAGCAATACTTCTGATACTTGTCAGCATTATCCGGGCTAATTTTAGAAAAAGGGTCAATTAAAGTGCGACGGTACGTGCACAGGTTGGATAGGACCGTACCAACGCTATAGAAATACATCGGCAAAATTTCAGGAATTAATCAAGTCGATTTTAATCAAAAAAAAAAGTCAATTAAAATGGGCCCTTCCGTCATGCGACGGTTTCGCGCACAAGGTGGATAGGGCCGAACCAACGCTATATAAATACATCGGCAAAATTTTAATAATAAATCAAGTCGATATTAATGCATCAAGAGAATTGTCAATTAAAATCCAGCCTCCTCGATTATAGCACAGCTAGAATTGTCTATGTTGTATGTAAGGCATAGGATTGCACTCCTCAAAAAAGCAAAACTTATTTTTGTTCTTATAAAGTTTATTTTGTCCGAGTATGATTCGTTTCGTTTCTCGCTTAGTTTCTCTGCTAGTTTCTGGATGGTTTTGTAGAGCCTGGAGCTGCTCCTCCGGTACACGCAAAAATTGGTGGAACAAAGCTGCTGTGTTCCACATCCAGAATTCTTTGTTGGTATTTAAATGTTTTGACACTCTCATGATATTTGTAGGCGTCAGATATAGTTTTGGGGCAGGATTTAGCATGGGCGTTGAAAATTTTTACGTCGAAAAAAGTTCGGCTGAATCGGCCTCCCCAGAGTCCGTTTGCCTTGCTGTCAAGTCGAGCGTCATCTTCAGTAGTGGTTGTTTTGTTGCGAAAAATTTCCCCTTCCAACGATTGAAGTTTCGGCTCTATTTCAACATCATGGCATACTTCGTCCAGGAGTGTCGCAAAGGTATCGTGAATTTCATTATGTCTTAGGTGAGAGTATCCACCTTTGGGACAGTGTAGAGAGTGGGTCAGTGTGAACGGTTGCCTACATGGGCATGTATGTGGGGTGTTTGGTTGTTCACATACATATCTCAGATGTAATCTATCTTTAAGCTCGCCCGGAAGATACATATCGACGGGCGAGTTTATCTATGTAACATTCGCCCGGAAGATACATATCGACTGAAAATAAAGCTAGGTTCTAAGACGACTGGCCAACGTCTAAACAGAGCTCTACATGCTTTTCACCGTCTCTATCAAGCCAGTACTTTCGGTGGTCTTTCTAACATCGGGTCGACAAAAACGTTACTGCTTTCGGCTTCGGTCAAAACACTCAAATTAACTAGATTACATGCAGAAATAGTGAGCTCATGGCTGGGTCTCAGTATCCGCAGACCACGAGATCACTCCTAAAATCAGGGCTACTACTATTTATTGAATTATTATTGTTTTTGTTCAGAAGATAAAAATCATCATCTCCATCGAAGATGGATCAACCCTCTCCCCCAAATCCTAGCTTCTCATCTTAGCAGAATGAATCCAGATGTTAATTAAATTCAATTCAGAACATAATAGGGAAGCTAAAGTTTGTATAAGATGATAAAAGTCCAGTCCCGAGACTCTTATTCTCCTTCCGGAAGGCTGTCTTCCACCCTTCACCGTTGTTCGCAACGGCCTTGCAACTATTGTAGCGACACAATAGTTGCAACTCGGAACGGTCTCTGCTACTTCTTCAATTTGTCGTTGTTTTCCAATCACAATTCTCGTCGTTATCGTTTGCGCAACTAATGTTGTTGTGTTTTTATTCCGGTTTTCTGCCAAAATGGCCGTTTCTTACGTTTCTCAGAAAAATGACTTCATACTTCGAAAATTCAAAAATTTGAAACACTAGAATATTCTAGCCTTCGCCGTTTGGCTAATCGTTCCAATAACGCTCTTATTCCTTCAAAACCGCCAATTCGAAAGGTTTGCTGCTAAAAACTCAAAATTGTTGCGTCTGCATTTTTGTCCATCCTGGTCGAATGTCAAATACTCCCCGGACAGTCCGGTCAATGTCCTCATTGAATCTCGCAATGTTCGTAAGATTGGTACAGTGTCATCGAACAGAATTTACAAAATGCTTGAAATTACTTTTATCCGCGTCATATCGAATCACTGCAGAATATAAATGGCATCATACTACATCACTATAGCCTTCAAATTTTTTCATTAATCTGCACATTGAGGATATGACCTAAGAAAAAAATATCTTTTCCGACTTTCAACGTCAATGCCTTGATTAAAACTTCTTCTCCTAGATTTTAAAAAGTTAAAAACGAAATTAGAAAAAAATAATTTTCTATTGTAAATTTCTTTCGTGTTTTTTCCTCGTGGCGAGCAAAAGGAAAGCTTATAACATAAAATGTTAGAAAACAAAAGTAATGAGAAAAAAGCGTCATATTAGTAATCAGAAAAAAAAAATAAAACAGGTATAGCCGATTGCAGTGCAACTAGCACAGAATGTTCAGAGCATATTCTTTCAAAATACACGCTTTTTCATTTTTTCCAAATAAGTGTCGTTTTCTGTGCGTGGTATAAAAAGAACAATCTGACGAAAGCAAAGAAAGTACGCATGTTTGGCAGTATAAGTAAAATAGGCAAATTGGGCATTAATTTTGTCAAAAATGACTTAAAAAAATCATTAAAAATTTTTTTATTTTTTTTGCAGATATTTTTTTGAATTGATTTAAGTTTTTATTCCTTAGAACGAAAAAAAAAACGTATTTTACTAGAGTAAAACTAAATTTTCATGGCCTATCTTTCTATAAAAAGTCAAGGGCTATCCTTCTAGTAATAGTCATGGCCTATCCTTCTACTTTAGTGGCTGGAAATTAAACAAAAATGTAAACCAGTTTTTCTCGACACTGGGAATTTTTGAAAAAAATTTAACAGTCGTTCAAATTGGGGCTGAAGGCATTTATTATTATTTATCACTCTTACCATTCCGATGGTTTGCGGTAAGTTTTCTTGGTTGAAAAACTAAATAAGCCTTCTCACTCGCTTTTCTTGCTCCAAATTAGACGATTGATCAAAAAGTTTTAAACCTGTTTTTTTTTTTACACTGGGACAACTTCTAAAAATCGTTCGACTGATAGGGCTGTATTTTGATATATCACTCGACCGATTCGGTTGATTTTTGTGGTACCTAAAGCAAACAAAAAAAAACTAAAACAACCAAATCCAATTGTCTGAACAAAAACATGTTTGGTATATTTTTATGTATGCTCAGCGCTAAATGAATTTTCGAAAACTAGTTTCCACGGCTCAAATAAAAATTTTTTTTTTCGTTTTTATAAAAAATGAAAGATGTGCTTATGAAAGCGTTAAAGAACAAGGAAAAAAAACTGATTGAAAATGTTTGAACTCATTGAAAAGGTTTGAATAAAAAATCACGTTGAAACTTTTTGAATTTGAAGAACTGTTTATGACTGGCACTTTTCTTAGATGTATCTCATTTGGAAATAACTAGATCAAAAGGTAATTGTTTCATCCCAGTGCAAATTCAGAAAATGAAGTTCATTTTTGAAACTACTTTTACAGCCATTCACATTTTTTGCGACTTTTACATTTTTGCTGTTATTGAGAACCAACTTAAATACATGTGATGATCAATTTGGTATTTTTTATAAGTGGCAAGATGTTTCTGGAAGAAGAATGATCTATGTTTTGTCTTTGGAGGGAAACCCCATTTAGAGAAAATACCTTCAATCAATGACGCGTAAAAAAATTAACTGTAATCCAGATAGTGTCATCTAGGTGCGGCTTTTGACTTCTTTTTAAAAGAATGGAGAGTAAAAACTACGATCAAGAAAAAATGCTAATTAAATTTCTCAGCAGAAAGTTCCAGAAAAAGGAAAACTCGCAAAGAACAAAGAAGAATGATCAAAATTGTAAAGCTAGGATACGAGAAGAAAATTATGAAAAATTCAAACGTCTGATGAATCTACAGAGCCATTCAAACTCGTCTATAGATGAAATTCTGGACAATCGGAAACAAGGTCAACTTCAAAAGCACACAAAAAATTGCAGATTGAGAAAAGATGACGAAAACAAACGAGCTGTTCAAGAACAAAAAGAAAAAGAGGACCTGAATGGTCTTGTTAACGGAGCATACGGCGCTCATGATACCGAAACACAGAGGCATGTTTGTTATTTCATTGATAAACTCCAACAACAAAATTCACAAAAATTCGCAGTACATTTTAAAATTAATCAAGTGCATCGCTCGGACGAGGAATTCAGAAAATTCATACTCGAACAGAAAGCAATAGAGGACGTATATTATCGCCAAAAAATCAGCAAACGCAACCAAGCCCCTGGTTACATACCGCAGAATGAAAACCGAGAATTTTCCATTCAGTCTCGAACAAATGGAACGCTTTCTTCAAATAACAATTACCAAGATATTGAATCAGTTTCTTCGAAAGCAAGGTCTTGTCATTGTGGGCTTAATGAAAATAAGACAGTCCAACTAACAATTCCGCCTAGTAATACTGAAATCCGCGTTGTTGTCAATCAAGGCAAGGAAATGAATGAAAAACCAGCCTCAAAGTGTTTCTGCTCAAGAAATTCAAGTCGACCACTTTACAGACCTTTGACTTGTAAATGCAATGAGCGAAAATATCTGCAATCATACCAACAAAATAGCTACCAACATCAATCACACCAACATAATTTATCTCAGGAGTCTGAAATACAGTATTCAACTGACAGGAAAGTCTCTAGTCAGTCCAAAGAAGCAGCATCGTGGACCTCAACCTTGGAGGGGAACAGAAGTCAAGATGAAGGACGGAAAACATCAAAAACCAAATCTCTATCTGCAATTAACGAAGTAAATGAGGAAAAAAGCAAAGAGACAACAATTTTAGATCAGAGACCTATCCAAACTTCGATAGATAAGACAAAATCGTCTAGCTTGAACCCGTTCAATTTTGAGGAAAACAGAGTAGAAGAATACAAAAGAGAGAGTAAACTTACACCATTGTACTACTTCGAAGAGTCATCAGCAGCTCAGCTACAGCAGAAAGAGGAAG